TAATCAGTATAGTTTTCAAAGATAGAAGTAAAATGAATAGCTCTGCACTCTTTACCCAGGCTTAAGAAGAGAATTGAGGTGGTATCTTTTAGTAAGATAAGGAATAGTGGAGGCAGAACAAATTTTATTTTGATGGTGATGGTGGGTGGGGTTGTAAGGATGAGTTCGGTGCTGGATTTGTTAAGTTTGAAGTACTTATGAGATATCAAAGTGCAACTGGCTGAAGGCATTGAGGTAGAGTGTATTTCAGGGACTCATCAACATACAGATCAATGGTTCTTAACTTTTGGGGAGTCATAGATTCTTCTGAACATGAAAAAATTACATATGCTCACACATATGGAAAGGCACTTTTGGACCTCTTAATGTCCATTTGGAGATGCCTCTTCCCCTACCCCACTCCAGGAAAAATAAAACTCATGTTAAAAAAAAAAACCCTGAGAGTATAATAATTGAGTCCACAGAAATAATAATATTCAGAGTATATGTGTGTAGAGGGAGAAGAGAGGAGGGTTTAGGATGGAGCGATGAGTAACATCAGCATTTAGGAGATGGTTAGGAAGAAGGCCATGCAGAGGAGACTGAAGAAGCTGCCAGAGATGGAGGAAAAGAGTGGGGTTAGGGATCCCAGGACAGTGTTTTGAGAATTTTAGCGTCAGCAACTGGGTCCATATGCTGTAAAGAATGCATATATACGGTCAGGCCTCAAAACCGGAGTGACATTAAAGTGGAGACTGCTTAGGTATAAATTTGAAACAGACCTGGAATTTCCTAAGCTCTCATCTTTTTTGTTAAAATTAATTATTAACAGGTACAGAAGTATCAGATTCTCTGGAACAGAAATTGGATTTGAAATTCCCAGGATATTAGCAACAAGTGACATTGCTCTACGACTCCTACATACTCACTATGATCATGTTTCTCCTTTGCAACCTATTCCAACACCATCAAAAGAAGAACATACCATCACAGTAACTGAGATTTTCAAAGATGAACTTAAAAATGTAGAAAAAGCAGTCAGCAAAGAGGACCGTAAAGAGTCTGAACCACAAGAAAGTGGGTCTAAGTTAAATAATGAGGAAGAAATAAAAGTTGAGGAACAAGGTGATATTGAAGTACAAATGGTAGGACACATTTAAATATATAATTTTTTTTCTTCACACAACATGCGTTATTAGATTCCCTTGAAGTATTCTCAAGACTTTCCCTAAACTAGAAATGGTCTGAAAACCACTAGCCACTTCCTTGCCAGTGCCTCAATTTTTAATGTGTATCTTTTCCTGCCTTTCATTGATAGTCACTTCATGGTTGAGCCAGTTGCTTCAACATCCTAAAGTTAGCACAGGAATTGCTCATTTTTATATTAGGTACATAACTGGGAAGCTCTGATGCCCTTTAATTTTTATATATT